CAGACCCCGACAGGTTGGAATTTTGGATCTATTCCAAGAATGATCCCGTGTCACTGATGTCTTAATTTCAACATTGCATAATTCCGCAACAGCTGTATCGCTCCCTCGTGTCGATCGCTGGCGGATTGCCTCCATCTGGTGCCGCTTCGTCCTGATTCCCCATTTCGCCGCAAGAACATCCCGTGCCCTCCAGGGGTGTCTTCGATACTGTCGTGCCTTTCTCAGCCAGCAGGTGTTAAAATTCCACCTCAAACAAACCGCTAATGATCGCCAAATATCCGCGGTCTTCAGGGACATACATCGCTGATTTTTATTACTCCCAAATGCATTGAAAATAATCCAAAGAATTGCGTTCTCATCCCGCCATTGAAAGAAATTCTATTGGAATATTCGTCCTTGGGGATTCTTCCACCAAAATATTTTCGTATTCTAGGCAAAACATGGAAGAAATCTGAGGGAAATTAGATATGCCAAATTTAGTGAATTTCCTCGATTTAGTTTTTACACGTCTTTTTATGACGCGTTAGTCTCGCTCGTCCGTCGGCCCAGTGTTACATCTCCCACGAGAGTATCCCACCTCCTATTTTATAACCAGGCAACAGGAAAGATCCCGTATATTTCCTTTCAGTGCTACACTTTCCGATTCCTATTGAGCGAGACGGCAGTAACCCGAGGCTCTTTTTCCATTGTCGATAATTCTACAAAGACCAACAACTCTCCCTCGCGTGTTCCCCCCGTTCAATGCAAAAATACTGAGGCACTAAATCCCCCCAAAAATCACGACTACACTGTCCGACGGATAGTAAAAAAATCCCATCAATTTTCCGGATTTCATAAATCTACTTAAGCGCAACAAAAACAAAAATTCTTTGAAAAAATACAAGAATTATTTGAACCTTATTTTCGCACAGGAGAAACTTTCTTTTTATTCCCTGGTGGCGCCTCAGTTGGGATATAAATTAATTAGATTTGTGTCGGGGGTGTGGCTGAAGGGATAGTGTGTGCCGGCACGTTTTGTTCCCGTCTCTTCTCAGACTTCTTTTCGGCTTCGAAAAAACTCTTCATTGCAGTTCGCCCCCCTACAGTCACTCTCAAAACTCGAGCCCCATCACCTCACACCTCTCAAAATCCCTCTTGAAGCTTCAAAAAATGCTTTCGAATTCATCAAAAATAAACCAGAAGACTTCCACGTTTTTTAAATTCGAATTCACACAGTCGAATCACGGAAACAAGGCCTTCCCCGATTTTTCAGTCGATTCTGACCCATTCTATACATCATAGGGCACCAGGTAGACCCATACGAGGGGCCTCTGATGTATAGGTGGGCGTTAACGGTTGTAGTAACATAGTAACTTTTATTATATTGGCGAAGAACGCGTGTGACGCGCGGATACAATGAGCCCCGGGGCCCGGCCTCCTCTCTCCCTCCCTCTCTTTCTCTCCGGGTCAGTCTCGCAAAGGGTTAAATCATCGAGAAAGGTCGCGGTGACTTGAAGAGAAACGGAACGTACAACTGATGATATTGCCGTGTTAATTTACGATCACTCATAATTTACTTCGCAGTTTTACTTTCGCAAGAATTTCCGAATTAATGTATCAAGTATTAATCATTCACTCATTCATGATTGTGTTAATTAAACTCACATTGATGGTGTTCAAGGGTGAGGGGGTGGCTCCCCTGCGGCCTCCGCCGCCCCCGACCTCTGCCTCCAGTTTGATTAACCTCGGAAACTCCCTAAAAACCACCGCTCACGCACTTTAAACTAAAAATTAAAAATTTGAAATAATTTCACTGATTTATTTATTCACTTGTGTACCAATGTACCTCATGCACTCTCATCTCCCTCCACGACATGTACCATAATCACGAGAAAAAATCACAAATATCAGACAACAGAAGGAACAAACACTAATCACGGCAGAATCAGACAACAAATCGAGTGAACTTGAAATTATTCGTGTGATTGGCAAGCACTGATGGTGAATATACGTCGAACACGTGGAGGAACTATCGGAGGTGCGCCGGAGCGCCAAGAAAAAGGAGACAGGTCGGTTCCACCTTCCCTCCCACTCCAGTTCTCCTTCCACCGTCTCGTCTACCTCACGAGGAATCGCCGATTATTTTCTTCTCCTCTTATTTTAAATCCCCCGGGATTTTTTTACACGTTAGACACACCGTCGAGTGGACCCAGAGTTGGCGCAGGTGAATCTCCGCTACTTCCTCTGCGCATGCGCACAAGACAGTCCTATCATTAATCCCCGAAAATTTCAACCGCAATTGGAGATTCGAGTGTTCTTAAATTTCCAAAATTTTTCTTCCTTATTCTTTTTCTCCCTGAATTCGTTCCGTTAAAACCTCGAAAATAGTGCCTGAGGTTTAAAATAAACCGCGAGTTGCGGCCGGTGCGGTCTTTGAATCAGTTGCACACTAACGTTAGTGTACTTGGCTTTTGAACGCGACTCTGGAATTGCTGTGGCGCCACCCCCTCCCCATTTTACACCCATTGCACATAACCCACCTCCTTCTCCTCTCTTCGTAGCAATGTTGCGCGTCCTCCTCGGAGGCCTCCACAACCTCCCCACCTCTTTTGTCCCTCATTCAAAACCTCACCCACCTTCATGCGCCTCTCTCCACCTCTTTGCCTCCTCTTATTCCGTCAATTCCTAAAGCCTTTCTCTCTCTCCTCTTTCTCCTCTTTTTTTCTACCTCCTCGTCCTCACGGATTTTTCCCTATAATTTACTCTCCGGTTGTCTCTCCATTCTTTTTCTGTCGACTTTTTTTCTACTTCTTTTGTTAATTCTACTTTTTTTTCTCCTCCTTTTCACTCTCTATCGCTGTCTCACTTGCATTTCCCCTTTTTCGGCCTTCTTTCGGGTTTTATTTATTTCGTTTCACTCCTCTCTTTCACTCTGGATGATGTATATATATGTATAAAACGTGCGGCCAGCCATGAATCTTTGCCGTTGCGGCGAGAGAGCTCTGCCGATGCCGCAACGCCCATTTAATAGTATCCTCGTCGCGCGCCTCGACCGTACGGCTTTTTCCGTTCACTCTAGGGCCATCTGTTGAGCCTCCGATGTAACTACGTACAGATTTCAGTGGTATTATGAATCGTGCGGTTCAACTTTTTATGTCGCGCCGTGCAAAAAGTTGAGTTTATCGCACGCTGCGCTTCGCGCAGCTTGCTCAAAACTCGACTTCTGCACGACTTGACATAAAATATTATAGAGCACTCGGTAATAAATTTCGTTTTCAACGAATGTGAATACAGACCTCGCCTTCGGCTCGGCCTGTAAACTTCACATTCGTCGAAAACGCAATTTGTGCCCTTGTACTCTAATGTACTATTTTTGTTCTTCACCTACTCCGATGTACCCAAAGCCCATTTCTCTCCGCATTATTGTATCTCTCACTTTGCACGAAGGCACACGAACCGTGACGAATTGCCTTGCAAGCGAGGAGAAGTAATTAGCAATAAATTTAAGCACGAGCTATGAGGAAATATTTATTTTACATTTCATCTTTGTCTTTATCGCCTCTATGGCGAACTTGTTCAAGGACGCATCTTCATTCTGCATTGTTTTACTCATTTTTTAAATTGCCTCGTGGTAAATTTTTGAATAGACTAAGAATGTTTTACTGCTTCGGTTTTTTTCACACTTGCGTTTTTTATTAGAGAAATAAAAACGTGTTGAACTAGATTCAGAAGTGTAGATTCACTCCGGCACCTGCAGGTAGAGAATTCCGAAGAGAGGATATATTTTTTTCAATCCCCAAATGATCGTCATTGTAACCCCCCGGGCGCGGTAGGACGTATCGAGTGACAGGAGGATTCCAGGGTGAATCCGATATCCAGGGATGATTTCGTTATTATGTGGAAAAAAAATTATTCTATCTAACAATCCCATCTCCCTCCCCAGCACCAATAAAGAAAATTCAGACACACTTTGTTCAGTATGAAATGAGTGTACTTTGATATTTTTCATCATACAAATTTACAGTGAACAGTTAATTGACATTTACATCTAAAATAAAAACATCTTATGGATCATAATTACAAAATTTCAAATAGAAACTTCTCTTTATGGCAATATTTTGTATACAAACATCTTACATTTCACGTTTTACATAGAAAATCAAATCGACACATTGTCACAGCGCCTGAATCACTCAACATTAAACTCGACCAATTTGGAGAGTATATACACTGAGAAAAAAATGACTCTTGCCAAGTAAATTTACTTGCCAAAAGTAAATATGTATCAATATTTGCATTTGAAATATGTGGATTTTCTTGTAGTTAGTATATTGACTTGGCAAAAGAAATTTTTTTCTCGGTGTACAATGTGTAAATGATTCTCCGTATTGGAGTTCACCAGCGAAATAAACGAGAATATGTGGAAAAAAATATCTATTATATCTAACAATCCAATCTCCCTCCCCAGCGCGAATAAAGAAAATTCAGATACACTTTGTTAAGTATGAAATGAGAGCACTTTAATATTTATCATAAGAAAATTTACAGTGAACAATCGATTGATATTTACAGCTAAAATAAAAACATCTTATGTACAATAATTTCAAAATTACAAATAGAAACTTCTCTTCCTGGCAATACTTTATATGCAAACATTTGACATTTGACATAGAAAATAAAATAGGCACATTGTCACAGCACCTGAATGAGTCAACAGCAAACTCCACCAATTATTCCTCGTACTGGAGTAAAATATGTGGGAAAACAGTTTATTCTAGCTAAAAATCCCCCCCCCCCCCAACCGCAATAAAGAAAATTCAGATACACTTTGTTCAGTATAAAATGAGAGTACTTTAATATGTATCATAATAAAATTTATAGTGAACAGTAATTTGACATTTGCAGTGGAAATAAAAATATCTTATGTACAATAATTAGAAAATTACAAATAGCAACTTCCATTCATGACAATATTTACATACAAACATTTGACAGTTGACATTTCCCATAGAAAATAAAATAGGCACATGGCCACAGCACCTGCATCAGTCAACAATAAACTCCACCAATGTGAAAACTATACAATTTCTCTAAATTATTCTTCGTATTGAAAAAAAAAATTATTCTATCCAACAATCCCATCTCCCTCCCCAGCCGCAATAAAGAAAATTCCGACACACTTTGTTCAATATAAAAAGAGAGTACTTTAATATTTATCATACTAAAATTTACAGTGAACAGTAATTTGACATTTACAGTTAAAATAAAAACATCTTATGTACAATAATTACAAAATTACAAATAGAAACTTCTCTTCATGGCAATATTTTATATACAAACATTTGACTTTTTACATTTGACATAAAAAACAAAATAGGCACATTGTCACAGCACCTCGATCAGTCATCAGTAAACTCCGCCAATTTAAAAACTATATGCAATTCCTCTGAATAATTCTTCATACTGGAGTTCACCAGCGAAATAAACGAGACTACAATCGACTCTCCAAGCACTCTCTCCCACTTTAAACAATCGGATACGGCACCATCGGCATGAACTGCTGCGGAATGACAGGCAAATCCGGCTTGACAGGCTGATTCTCCTTATCCTTCTTCGTCTTCCTCTTCTGGTTCTCATGAGTCTTCACATGTTTGGTCAGATGATCACTCCTCATGAAGCGTTTGCCACAGGTGGTACAGGCGAAACGTTTCTCCCCAGTATGCGTCCTGAGATGTCTCTGGAGTTCATCGCTCCGGGTGAAGCGTTTTCCGCAGAATATCCAGTTGCATACGAAGGGCCTCTCGCCCGTGTGCCACCTGAGGTGCGCCTTCAGGTGCGACGTCTTCCCGTAAACTTTGCCGCAGCCTGGAACATGGCAAATGTGTTGACGTTTGCCGTCAGCGCCGACCTGATTGCCCCCGTCGACCTGGCAATTTGGACAGCGGCATCTCGTGCACTTCCTTCCGGGCTTCGTCTCCTCCGAGAGAATGTGGTCCGCAGGAGGTGTCAGCGGCCACTGGTAAGGGCTTGTGTGGCCTTGCGGACTGGACGGAAGCTCTGGAGGACTCGGAGGAAGATTGTAAGGCTGAATTGGCGGGACTGAGCCGAGTTGCGCCTGAGGTAGGTGAGTCTGCGTCGTCCAGGAGGTGGTGGTTGCCGGCAGTGGCGGCATCGAGTAGGACGGGGGTGTCAGAGGCTCGGCGATCTGACTGTGAGATGAACTGGGGAACCAGTAGGAAGGCTGACTCCCCTGAAGATGATGACTCGGGATCGGGGGGTTGTACGAGTGATAGTGCATCGAGGGCGCACCGTAATCCATTGGATACGACGAACTGGGCATCGACAGGGAAGACATCGGCGTCATTCCCGGCATCGGCGACATCATCGTCGGCATTCCCATCTGTAAAACCAATTAAACACTTCGTTAGTTCACTTGTTATTTGTTTTGTTTACTTGATTGAGGGTTTTTTTTTCCACTGAATTCACTGGTGAGATGAGGGGTTGAGCCGATAAACATCGAAATGAAATGAACTTGGGGATGATTTGAAAAAAATAAACGAAAATGGCTGAAATTGAGAATAATTATTGGCGTTGGAGAAAATAACCGAAGTATCAACTACACGGAGACCGGTCAGAAGCGTTCACGCTTCGAATGTAATATTACGGTGGATGATTACTATAATTCACAAATACAGCGCTGTTGCACCGTGATAATTCAACGTTAAATTATTGTATACAGGGGGTATATGTGGATAACAACGGACCTGCTGATACTGCATCACTTGTGCCATCACTTCACACTTTTCTTCAATTTTGTTGTTTTTATTTATTTCACGCTTAAAACTTGTTTTTCTTTATTCCTCCGTTAATGTTCTTCAAGTAATACGAGGTTTACACCCACGAGTAATCCAGAGTTGAAGGTCAAACTTGACTCGGAAGTCCAGACATTGATTCACGATTTAACGAAAAAGAAAAAAAGCAATCGGTTAAATTGGAGAGCACGTTTGGTTGTTCGGCCACGGGCGCTCGCCAGATAATTGCTGGTTGGTGAGCGTGTCGCCTCGGTTTTAATAACTGAGTGGACAACGACCGAGGCGTAGAGGGAGGCTGACTACTCAGACAACCAGTCCCTGCCCCGTAAACCCAAACTCGGGGGGAGGGGGCACTGTGGTGGGGATGGATGTGCCACACTGGATAGGGATATACCTATTGAACCCTCAGAGGGGGCACAGTGTGCGCATGCGCAATCCCCTCCAGTGGGACTCGAAGCATTTCTTTCCCATAAATCAACCCCGGGGCTTACAGCGTAAGGATTCTATCCCCCTCTTCTCGTCCTTAACCCCTCTGGATTTGGGGGAGACAAGGATCGAAATGCAGAGTGAAACCTTTTGTGGGAGATCTTTGCCTCGTGGCTTTGAAATAATGTACCCCTTGATTTTTGAGGGATTCATCACTGTCTTTCTTTTGGAGATCTGTGAGAATCAATTGGAAGGATTGAATCGATGAGATGAAAATGAATCGGGAAGTGAAAAATGGAAGGAAATGAGAGTGTGTGATCTTTCCTTATGGGCTGGTATTTGATTTATGAAGAAAATCGTATACATCAGGCCATCGATTTCTTAATTGACGTGAATTCAGAGAATTCATTAGCTTTTGGTATTGTAAAGCAAATTAGGGGAGTGGGGCAAAATGAAACAGCCGACAAACGACTATTTGACGCAATTCAAGCGAAGTTTTGTTTATTAACTTTTTTTACTATTGGGCGTAGGGTGAACAGGCCCATTGCTGGACGGTTAAGGGAAATTCGAGTTTCGTGGTAGACGCTGAAATAAAAGCATCACCTACATCGGAATATGATGGCTTCCATACCTTCAAGACTGTTTTAATTAAAAGAAAAAAATTACTTGAAGGCAACTAACAAAACAAAGAATAATTGAATTAAGAAATAGTTGAATGCAGCCAAAACCCCTAATTTCTGGACGACTGGGCCATATTTTTTTTGGATTTATCAAATGTCGATCAATAGAAAAAATAATTGATCACATGATTATGCACGAGTAATATTATTTAAAGGTGAAATAGTCAGTATAATTTTCATTTTATTTATGGAATATTTAAGGCAAGGTGAAGTCGTTCTGAAACTAACCTCCGTTCGGAAATTGAACTGTTTACTCTACTGGTGAGAATAATAATTTTCTATTCGTTTTATAATTCAATTGATTAGATAAGGGCGATTACACTTTTCTTTTTTCATTCGACTGAAAATTAGCATCACATTTTCCTTTGTCCTCCTCGGAGTTTCCCCCTGGGCCATGCTCTAGACTTTGTGCTTTGCTGTTTCATTTTCTTTTCAATTACACGGAGAGAAATATTCACTAAAAATCACGGAACAATTCACGTAATCCGCAATAGGGAATCGTTTTCCGGTAATTTTTATAGGAATGGAAGAGAATAAATCTGAAACGTTCAGTGAATTTTCAGGTTCATCACCGAACAAAGTACGAAATTGTCATGTAATTTTTCCTGAGAAAGTAAAACCATACAGAAACTTCCCGACTTATTATGCCTCCAAAATCAAAAATTCTTGAACGTCCAACAATTTTTACGATACTGATGACATTTCTACGTTCCATTCCGTAAAATTTCTCAATCGCTGGGGAAAAATTACGGAACTACTTGTTGTCCCCACAGCGATGAGTCATCAGGCGGGTGGTTAATTCGTACGGAACAAATCGTACAATTTACGTGGCGATTCGTACAATTTCACTCTCGACTCACACTTTTTATTGAATTTTACTTCGCTCGCCGATTAATTTTCGAAACGTAATTTTTACGTTTTTTTTCGGGTAAATTTTATTGAATTTTTTTCTCCGTGTAATCCACTCACAAAATCTTCTCCCTTCAAAACTTCTCAATAATTTTTAACATTCTACTGAATGGAAAATCATTATTCTCATCAGTACTCCCAAGAATAAAAAAGGCTTATAACCAAAAATTAATTAAAAAAATGCTTTCGCCTGAATTGCGTCAAACAGAAGACAAAGATCTATTCTCTCTCTCTCTCTTTGACTTTTCTCGTTGGAATGCATTGACTGGGTAATAAATTCTTGAGTGATTGGCATTTGTTCTTACCAGAGTTATGGGATTAAGCCACCAGGGTTAGAAGAAAAGAATAAATTCTTGAAGAGGAAGAAAGAATGTGCACCATTGCAATCATTGAAATTCCAGGAAAAATCATTTAATTCCTTTTTTCCCCCATTTTTACGTGTTTCCATTGTAAAAAAAACCATTTGACCGCACATCCGTTCATGATAACAAATTTTCTCATGACCATAAATCCTCCCTGGACCACTGCAGGATATCCTGCTGGTCTTGCCACGAGACCAAGAAAGATGCCCTGGTGCGTAACAACACAGTAGAAAATGGTAACATTTATGGTCCCCAAGGTTGTAAAATGATCATTGAAGCATCACTGAGAGGTGACGACACTCTCGCGACTACCGGCCTCGACACAAGCTTCCAGGTCTTTTTCCCCATTATTAGCCACCTGCAAGTGTTATACAATGAGTGAAAACTTGAAAGGGAGTGGGCTCAAACGAAAGCACCCGCACCAAGTTTTCTAGTAGAACTTGTAGCTCCCCGAGTCACACGCTCATCCTCGGGTTGACATCGGTGTACAATGAGCAACCGGAACATTCCGCTATTCATTTTTGCGTATGGCCTTTCGATACGCATCATTCCTGAATTACGTGATTGTATCGATGGCTGTGATCATTGGGTTGGCAGTGAGCCTTTGAAAATGTAAAATTCTAGGGATCTACAGTCACAGATATAGAGATGAATAATGATACGATCTTCGTTCCTGAATTTATTGGCATTTTTGTACAATATCTTTTCTGAAGAGGACATTTTCCTTGATTCGACGGAATTGAGATGGAAATTTTCTCCGAGTTTTATCTTTTATGCATGATAGCATCATTCGGTAGATATTAATGTTCCGCGATCGATTTTTTTGCATTAAATGTATTCACAAAAATTTACGGACTATGATTTTAAATTTCTCTTGAGAAATTTTGATAGGACGTGTAGTTTGCGAGAAAAAAAATGTTTAAATGATGAAAAATGGCACAAACGAACAATTTGAAAAATTTATTTAAAAAATGAATTTGGCCGTAGTTTTCCTAGCAAGATACTTTGAATTAATGAAAATGCAATTTGTTTAGGGGATTAGATTTCATCCCCATTAGTTGAGTCAAAACGAGTGAAAAAATTCTGAAAAAGTTCCAATTTCATTATTTTTTTGGTAAAATCAAATGATCGGAATTTGGTTGCACACATTTTGATGCACGTCAATTTCAAGTCCATCTACGCACGTGTGTTAACACCAACTTGCCTTAACATGAAGTTTGAATATGCGTTTCCTGCAAGGTAACCGGTTAATTGCTCTTACGCGGAGAGAAATATTCAATAAAAATTACGTATCTTTTCCGTAATTCCGGAGCGAAATGTGGTTGTAGGAAATTTTACGGAACTGTTACGGAATTTTTCCAGAGCGTTCGGTAGTTTTTATCTGAATCTCCTGTGAAGAATTACCATACCGTCACTTAAATTTTCCGAGTCGATTCCGTAATCAGTGAGCGAGTTGTGAGTTCCGTAATTTTGACTGAATATTTCTCTCCGTGTATGTACAAGTTCTTTTTTTTCAGAAATTTTTTTAATTGCCTGTTTACAGCCACTTGCCAACACTTCAACATTTTTTTTCACAAAAACTCGACGTGCTGGAGAGATTTCCCAAAAGAAATTTAAAATCAGCATCAAAATATCTATAAAATGGGGTTCTTTTTATCTCTTTCTCGAAGGTCTCTGACTCCAACGAAAAACAATCACATGTGGAAGAAAATTTGAGATAATGGAAAAAACGTCTGTTGCGACTGATTACAATAGCCTTTAAAGAATTATCAAATCGAACCACCTTTTTTTCTCCCTTTTACAGACAAGAAAAGAGTTCTGAGAAGTGTCTCATCTAATCTAGATTTAGGCAGACAGCACTATTTTTCTAGCACATAATGAATGCGAAAAAAATGTCACCACCGAGTGTTCTCGATTTTCGCCGATTTCCGGTAAGACATCTACCATCATGCGTCAACCATCGATCATTCGAAAAACCCTCCAGTAACTCCCACAATTTGGTCTCTTGGGATACTCAAACCTCGCCTTGTTTGTCCAATTCATTGAGCAAACACGTTTTGAACACCAGTGGACAGCGAGAAAAACTCCCGCACCCGTGCACACTTTCCCAATAGACTTGTGGCTCAAATACATGTGTCATTTTTCCTTGCGCCTCAATCATTTATTCTTTCTTCTACCAGTTGTAAATCTTGCGAGACGAGTGTTACCAAGAATATGGAAAGCCCTGGCACGCCCCAAGGAGGAAGGAAACTCTGTGCAACCCCTTCGTTCTCTTCTTTTCAATTTACATCCGTGTCCTCTGGTTGTATTGAGGAAATAATAAGCCGCTTAGTGGACGCTGTTGGGGCAAATTGAGGAGTTCGTAAACAGCACACCCACGGGGATATGGCCAGTTTGGAATGATTAATTGTGAATTGGATGGATTTTCGACATTAAGAGTGTTTAATTCGTGGAATTTTTTGGGAGATGAGAATGGTTTTTGGGATCATTTGCTTCGAAATTTAATGTTGTTGGGTGGTCGGTATTATAATGATGTGGACTTACGAAGGATAGAATTCGATGAATTGATGTTGTGGTGATATTTGTAGGAACGGTTACGACTACACGGAGAAAATGGCATGAAAAATTGCCGTAAAATCGAGATAATCGGGGAGCGAAATTGTTGAGACAGCATTCTTTCGATAATAAATAAATAATTTTACATTAATGGAAATATGAATAATCGACGAGAAAGAAGAGAAGAGTTGAACGTCTGACGCCAGTCAGGGCTAATGAATTGATTTTTTAAAAATAAAACTTCTTTATTCAGGGTTTATTACATTCAATAAATTGATAACAGCACGGAGAGAAATATTCAGTAAAAA